AGCAGGAAGGACAATAAAGACAATACACAAAGTTGTGTACACAAAGAAGTTGTGTATTTAATTCTAAAAAAATGTAGCTTCAAAACAAGCAATTAGAATTTTATCTAGGTCAATGCCCCATCAAAACAATTGACACTTTAGAAGCATAACTCTGCTGACCTAAACACAATTTGACTACATTTGCAAGGCTTTCATTGCCTGCAGAAGGTGAATTAGTTGCAAGAGGACAAAAAGAAACCCTCTGAACTAACTTCTGCAGTACAAGGGTTTTTAAAACATTTGAGATTAATAATATGGACAGTATGAACAAGCAGTATTTTATCCGTTTCAATGATCAAATTATAAAAACTAAAATAAAATAAAAGCTGTCAGGTTTTGGAAAGAAAAAATGAAAAGAAAAACTAATTTTTATACTGTTGAGTACAAATTTAAGTAAGCAGATTTTACAATCTCATGAAAGTTTGCCATATCAAAACTTAACTTTCAAGTTCTTCATATTCCACAGGTCCACTAGAAAAAAGCAGCAAGCTAAACCTGCTCTTGAAGATACATTAGGAATGGCTGCTACTGCAGAAAATGGTACACCTACACACAGAAAAGTGTACCTGTAAATTAGCTGTGGATTCTGCTTCTTTCCAAGCATCCTTACTGGATGCCACTGGACAGGAGCAGAGCTCCAAGATTCAAACAAACAGGCCTAGCCCTGGGAAGTGATATGTCTGGGATAAAGAGAATACGTGGACATGAGGCAACTGAACTCTCACTGCCCATTAAACTCAAAGCTTTTATCATCAAGTCAAGTAAAATGCATACAAAACTCAAGCCCACTAGTGATTCACAAGAAGCATAACTGTGTAGTAAGACACAGAGAGTCAGGCATATGAGTGTCACTGGATGGTTTGACATAGTTAAAATTGTAGGCAAAGAATATACTGGGCTTCAGAGACAGAGAAATGTATGAAACACAAAGCCAGATAGAAAACAACTATTCAATTCGCTTGCCAGCTGGAAGCCTGTGTTCTGGTACATCCTGGAATGACTTTGAACATTACTGCTTGAATGCATGCAGCAGTTTATTGGATAAATTATTAGTTCAGGTCTCTGAATCCAAGCCTTCACACATTCCACAGCACTAAGGATTCCATCCATTATCTGCAATGGTGAGTTGTCAGCTGCTCCCCTCTACTCCACTCGCTGATGTATCAGAAAGGGAATGAACACAAGAGCTCCCAGTTATAAGCATCAGTTCTCTCATCACAAAAACCATCTCCTGTGATCAACTACCTTTATTACACAAATGACCAAAAGGCCCAGGAGAAGAAGAAAAAAGAGAAAAAAATAAAGCAAGAGCAACAAAAACACACTGCTTTGGCTATCTGCAAAAAGTAGCTAGAAATGTCAATGAGAGCACTCAATATCCTTAAGAAAGCATGGACATTTTTACATTTTCTGCTGGTAGCTATGGCCACTATGACAAAACTACCTAGGAATCAGAGCAGGAGGGACTTACAGTAAAGTTTAGAAAAGCTTGCACTTTTATTGTTTGTTCATACAAGAACAGAAAGATGAGAAGCTTTCACACCACATGTGGTGCCAATCAGAGTTTAAACTTTAAAGAAAAATAATTATTGAAAAAATGTCTGCAAGTGAAACAACTTTGGAGAAGTAAAACTGTAAGTCAATTAATTTTGGGCTGATTTTGAGCAAATGACTACCAACATTATTTGTTAACCTTCACTTCACAAAACTATGTGCCATATCTAGAGATTAACATTTGGCATTCCAGTCTCCTCTAGTTAGATAACTCCAACTGCTTTACAGGTTCTTAAAAACGAGATGTTAACACAGCTAAAAATAAATACTGAAATAGCAGAATTTGCATGCCAGACATAGGTTTCCAGAACAATTAGGCATACAACTATATGCACTGTTTGAAAAATAAAAACGCTGTAGGCAAATTAGAAAACCTGTCCTAGCAAACAAAAGAACACTACATGGTGGGTTTTTCCAGTTGGTTTTTCAGGGTGGGGCCAAGAGATTTAAGGTTGGAGGTTTAAGGGATTATTTTTAATGCAGTTTGTATTGAAAATAAGCACTCATTTGTTACTATAAATCATATTTAATCTGGCAAGTTTTGACCAATATGACTGTTTATACAGTAAATATTCGTCTGCCACAAACTGACTGAAAACTATCATGATGCTGGTCAGCTTTACATCTTTTGCTTAAAAGTACTGAAAGTATAAAGAAACTTAAAATTATCATGCCGGGAAGTACTCTGTATTAGTAACAAAAGTTGGTACAAAACTATCTAAAGGAACAAAGCTTGAACATAGAGGAAATGTTTGGTAACAGAGAAACCATAAACACAACTCAAAAATCCAAACAGATAGAACTTCACACACTGAAATCTGTCCAATACAGAATACGTAAAACCTCTCCATTTCCTGTGCCACTCTGCTTCAGGAGCAGCATCATAACTTGCAAGTGAACAACAAAGATTACATATTCTCATGAAAACACAGCCATGGTCCTCACTGGCCAGTCCTCAGACCTGATATTCTTTTTCCTAAATACATGCCAAATTTGGGGTTTTTTTGCCCCCTGTTGGATCAAGGCCTTCCAGAAAATACAATTTCTAAGCAAGAATTAGAATTTCTTCTATAAATCTGTACATTTTCCAAAAAAATGCATCAGACAAATAAAGGAGAAAAAGCTTTTACATTAAGTCATTCTATAAGCTCTACATAAATGGTAAAAAAGGAAATTTATATACAACAGGTTGTATGGCACAAACTACATGAGCATTCGGAAACAATCTATGGTATCCTTTCTAGCTCTGAAGGAAGCAGTCTCCAGTTACTGAGCACTAAGGATTACCTGACTACAAAGAGAGAGGAAAAACAAACAGGGTAATCTTCTTGACAAGGATCACAGCTTGAAGAAGAATTTTCCAACTTCAGCAAGGACAATCATCCAATTTAGGTTCAAAGTGTCGTACAAAAAGCTGCCAATCCTTATGAAATATTTCCTTTGTTTAATATCACTGCAACTTCCAATCTCAATATCCTACTTAATTACATAACATACAAGGCAACAAATTAAAGGGTAGTAAGTCTTGTTAGAGCTTCAGAAGACCATGCTACCATCCTTGCACAGTCTTCTCGTTCTCAGTCAGTTTTAAGTAACCACTCAGCTTATCAAAACAGGAAGAAAAGGATCACAGTGATTGCTTTAGGATTACAGAGGGAAAAAAAAAGCCTAACTCGAAAAACCTCGAGAGTATAAGCCACGAGGCTACGCAGAATCATAGCGTGCACAGAGTCTGCAAAAATATCTTTACTGAGTTTTAACCCTGTTTCCAAATATTAGCACAGTTCTTTCTGGGGACAGGGAGGCTGTCAAAAGGAGTGGAAGAAGCAGCTAGTTATAAATCCATACACCTGAACTCATTATGTTGTCTACTGGTAATAGTACTTAATAGTCTTTGAGGTACACAAAACAACAAAAACCATACCACACTAATAACAATACTAATAACTATTCATACACATACACTTGAGACCATCCATTTCTCTCTCTCCTCCATGAAGCTTTTAATTTTGACGTATCGTTTTCCTTCATGAATTGCAGCTGGGTGTCCAATCACCGCCCTATCAAAGTCCCCTTCCGTACCTCTCACCTTGCCGAGGACCAGGCTGGACTAAGGCCTTGGGTGGAGATCCCAGGGCGGCAGCGCTGCTGCTGGGTGCGAGTGGGCAGGGCAGAGCCCGCACGGCCCTCCCCGCCCTCCGGCCCGCAGGCAGCACCGTCATTGACGCCGCTCGGGCCATGGGAGCGGTTTTTGTGTCCGCATGACACACCGCAAGCGCCGGCAAGCGGCACCGCCGGCTCCGGCGGGGGAGGCTTCGGGAGCCGCACGCCTCCCAAAGCCAAGGCTCACGTGGGAGAGACAATAACAGCTCCCGATCCAAGCCATCCCCGCCTATGGAGCCAGGCTGGGGGAAGAACAGTGAGGGTATTATGGCGAGGTACCTACGATGAGGCGCGCATCTAAAGTATCTGTGGACAATCTCCAAAAAGAAGCAAAGCCATGCAAAGGGAGGAAGCGGGAGGGTTAAGACAGCGCCTTGCCACCCATCACCCCCCCCTTCCCTTGGGGCGCTAAACAAGGGAAGCTGCAGGCGCCCAAGAGAGCTTAGGAGCCCGCCTGTGTGCGGCGGGGATGGGAGAAGGATCGGGATGCTTTCCTCAGTCTGTGTGCGGAGGGGAAGGCAGAAGGACCGGGATGCTTTCCTCACCCAGCAGGAGGACGTTCTTCCCCGAAGGCAGCTTGGAGCGCGAGCGCGTGGACACCTCGCTGAGGATGCAGGACCTGGCGAGGAGAGACGACAGCGCTTAGGAAGGGTCTCCTGCTTCCTGCCGGTCCCCACCCTCGCCATCCCCTGGGAATTGGGGGGGGCTACGGCATGAGGGGCGGGGGGCAGGGCAGGAGCTGCCACTGCCAAGGGGAGGTGCCCCCCCAGCTCAGTGACTGAGAGGCACTGAGCTCCAGCGGGGGCGGGGGGATTATCCAGCCCCCTTCCCCTCGCTCCCCGCAGGGCACCGTGGCGCTCCGAGGGCGGCGGCCAGCGCGCCCGGGTCCGCGGGGCGGGGCGGGCACTCACCAGAGGTTCTGCCCATCGTCCTCATCGCCGCCCGCCCGCAGCTCCGCGTTGTTGTTGTTGGCCGTGGCCGTAGAAGCGGCGGAGGAAGCAGAGGAAAAGCTGGCAGCCGAGCCGAGCCCGGAAGAAGAAGAGGAGCCGAAGGAGCCGGCTCTCCCCACCGCCGCCGCCATCTTCGCTGCTGCCTCCTCCTCCCTCCCCTGCCCCGCCGCCTCCCCGGGACGCGGAGCGGGCGGCGGCGCCGCGGCTCCGGCGGGGACCCGGATGTTGGGAGGGGCGGGGGCGGGCCCGGGGCGGGGGCAGCGGCGCTCGGGCCTCGCCCCTCGGCCTCTCCCCTCAGCCGCCTCCCGAGCCGCCCCGGCACAGCAGCGATCGGCCTTCTGCTCGGCTGCCTTCAGTACCGCTCCCCGTGTGAGGTGTTGCCGTGGGCAGGGGGCCGCGCCGTGCCGCTGGCTCTCGGGCAGCCCCGGCCCTGCAGGAAGCACCGCGCATCCGAGAGAAGTAAGTGCGGCTCAGGGGCAAGGTGTGCCATTTGGGGAGAACAGGGTGGTCGTTCTCTGCAAGAGGCCTCGTTACTTGTTCTTTTCTCACGAGTATCGCATGAGAAATCGGAAAAGATGGGTCACAGCACCATCATTTTAACAGCTCGACTTTGGCTAGAAGTTCCAGAAGAAGCTTGCAAGTGTGCCAACCCTCTCTTCATATATTTCGTAGTGTAACACAAGAATGGCGGTAAAGTCTGTTCAGTGGGTGAGTTTTGTCCTTTAAGGGGAATTCAGGGAAAACCTAACACAGGGGACGTTTCCTCTTGTTCCCCCTTTTAAACAAAGGATGCACATTCCCAGAGACTCTGGGTACACGGAAAGGTACGACCTATGTACGCCAGCAGTTTGCACTTTTATTTTTCTTGGTGCTGTGTTGGACTTATTTTTCCCAGAAAACATTGATTTTAAGTAGCATTTTGAAACAGGGGAAAAAAAAGTTTTTTTCTTAGCCTTGTGTTTCTGTCAATGTCTCTCTGTTGCTTTGCAACCCAAAATACAGATGTTTCTTTCACATGTTTGTTGCTTTAGTAGGGATCAGCTGTTGTGATGTGTAGGTCACCATTCATGAAAGTGTATTTCTTTCAGGTACTTCAGCTATAAAGTAAGTGAAGCTATGGTAGCCATGTGCTGAATTGGAGGTATCTGTCACAATAAATGCACAGTTACTGATCAGAAGTGTATGGACAGAATGTAGGTGCAGAAGACTGGCAAAGTTTTGATGTTGATGCATCATCCAGTAAACAGGGACCACTGAATAGAGGAATGCTGCTGAAAAGCTGCCAAGAAAAAACCCTTTCTGCATGACCCTGCAAGGCCTCCTTATGACCTGCTGTGAGCTGCCTTCACCCGTTATCTCTGGTTTTCATCACCATTGGGTCAGCTGACTTAAATCACAAAAATACAGAAAAATTGATTGCTGGAATGGCTGACTAACACTGCTAATTTAATGAGCTGAATCAGCTTGTGGAAAGTGTTTGACAAGAGGCAGAGCCAATACAAGGGAGGGAGAACAGAATTGACCAGAAAGTAAGGGAAGAAGAAGGGTAAGGTTTGAATTTGGAAAGAGTGGGATGGGAATGCCTTTTCAGTGACAGTAAACAGATAAGCTCAGTTGCAGATTGAGCTCATGTTCAAAGAGAAAGGGAAAAACAAAAAGAACCCAAACAGATTCTTGACGCATTTCCTAACAGAAAGAGCTTTTGAGAGTCCAAATTTCAGCCAGCTACTTCAGTCAAAAGGGATAACATTGCTTTTAATATAATATGAGAAACAGATGTCTGTTTATCCTGGTGTGTTGTTTTTAGATTTTTGTGAAACTTTATTAAAAAGGGGTGAATCACTGAAATTTTTTGAATTAGTTTTAAACACCTCACTTGCAGAAGCACTGAAAATAAGGAGTTTTAAAGTACTTCATGTTGCTTGTTATTTTAAATTATGTTCCTTATCGTTCATATGTGAGCTATATTCAATTGAGATATATAAATAATATAACCCAAGGACGTTTTTGAAATTAGAATGTAGATGACAGAAGTAATATTTAAATATGTGAAAGTAGTAGAAAATAAAAGGCTTCAAGGGAGAATGATAATAAAAGCTTGCTGCTTTGTGGCAAGTTAGGAACTTACTGATGTTGAGAAAAGATGGTGCAATTTTCCTGGTTTTTTTACTGTTATAGAGGCTAATAATGCAATCTGGAAACTAGAAAGCTTCCAAGCTAACAAGGATTATTCACAGTGAAAAAGAGACCACCTCTTTTCTTTCTCCCCTCCTCCTTCCTCTGACATCCTTTCATTCTGGAGTCTTTTTAAGGTGGCTTTCACTGCCTCATCCTCTTGTCATAGAGGATTTTGCTGTGTACCTGTGAAGGGATGTGTATAGTTAAAATTCCCTGAGGATTCACTTACCAGATTGTCACATGTGAACTTTTGATGGTGCTTGTGTGATGTTTTCTACCTTCAGCAGAAGGCATCCCTCTCCCCTCCCATTCTGCCCCCTCTCCGTTTTATTTCTGTCTCGGGAGCTGCAGAGGAGAAAGTGAAAATGGAAATGCTTGGTCATCATGCTCTCAGGTTAGGTTACGAAAAAATCAGGATGGAAGCAAAAATGTTGAGAGAATCAAGCCTTCATCAACTGCAGCATGCTGATAGAGTATCCCAATTAAATTATTCATAGAGTTCGCTGTACAGCATGATAGGAAGAGGAAATTTAGGAAAGCTGCAATGAAGCAACTGTAGAAAAGCAGGGGGGAAATCAGTAATACGTTTTTTCCTTTCCTATCCTGTGAAATAAGTTTCTGTCTGCAAAAATGATCTTGTGAATATATGGGAAAAACCACGCAGTGTAGCATTCTCCAAAGTGTAGCTGTGAATAGGAATGGATGTGCCTAGCAAACATTAAAGCCTCATTTTCTCCTACCTCACCCAACCTGTAGCTATTTAGCCAAGTATGTTAACAATAAGGTCTTCCCTATTATCACATTTTAAATTTTGAAGTTAAAGTTTTTGATTTGATACTATATTATACTAGTGGCTGTTACACTTGCAGAGATAAGTATGACTGTACAATACAAAGGTAATGAAGAAACAGATCCATCAACTGTGATCAGAAATAACATTTTTTCAGCTGATGATCATTATAACCATTCTAACTGGAAACAGCACTGCCAACAGCTTAACTACACACGTGCACAAGAGTAAAATGCAGCAACATCTCACTGCTGAAATAATGTAATTTCCTAGTACAAACAGGCTCTCCATCTCTCTGTGAGCTGCCCTGGGGTGATGCCAAAGAGCAGACCCTGGGAGGGAGTCAGCTGTGCTGTGCTGACCAAGGAGGCACCAACTGGGAAAGATGCCTCCTGTGCACAGCTGGCTGGTGATCCCAGGAGTGGAGTCTAGGTCTCTCTCACATCCTGTGCCTTTTCACTTTCTGATGTGCCTTTTCACTTTCTGATGTGTTTTGACTATGCTGTGCTTGTTCTTAACAGGGGGCTCCTTGTTGCCTGTCTCTCTTCACATAAAAACTTTTGTCTGAGTTAGCAGTGTATGAAATTCAAAAAGCAGTGATCCAGCTTTCCTGTCTGCATCTATTGTCAGTGGTCAAATACTATAAAATTGGTTGCAAATTTAGAAGGCATTTTTTTTATAAGCCTATGGAAATGAATTGTTATAGTTCAATTACATTTAAAAGATCCAGTTGGGTTCTTATAGAGACTTTTGCCTTTAAGGCAAAACCAGCTTCTTAGCAATGTTGACCTTGTTGAAATCAAAATTACAGAGTTCACTGTGCACAATATATACTTGTAGTTTACTGTGCAAAAAGCTTCCCTTTGAAAAGGCAGCAATGAAGAAGCAGAATACATAAAATTTCCAAAAAGATGTGTTGTTGCCTTTGGATGTAATGTATTCAAAAATATAAAAATAAGCCTTTAAAAGGGAAAGACAATGTGATTTGTCATCATTTGTTGATTGGAATTTTTTGCGAAGTTAATATGCAGAAAGCATTCATGAAGTTGGTAATGATTTCTGAAAGTGTCTCTTTTGCAGTGTTAACAGCCAGTCTTCTGACACTTAATCTTGAAAGTGAATTACTGATCTTGTTTACAACATTCAAGTTATTCTGTCAAGAAATTAAAAAAAATACTGTATGACTTACTTGACAAGTTTCAATAGCATAATTTGCAAATGGATTACTTCAGCACAGAATTAATATTTCAGTTTGTATGCTGAAATTTGTTAATTTAAACTCTCTAGATAATACTTTAAAAAAACAAACATGTCGTGGGAGCCTTACTGGGATTAAGCCTAAGAAATTCTAGACTCTGACCAGTTTTGTGTATCACATTTCTATTTTTCATTTGACGAAGCATAAATCTTGTTATTCATCCAGTTGTGGTTTGTGCTGTTTGGTAATATAAGCTCTATATACCACTTCTAAATTTATTTTCTACATACTGTACTGTAAATTTTTAAGAATGGTCAGGACTAGCTAACTGTGAAACAGTATATTATGGTCTGCTGCCATAGGAGACAAAAACTCTTTCATTTCACATAGGCAATGTTTGATTTCTTGAATCTAAATTTGTTACCAGAGCATCTTAAACATATGTTTAAGTGCATCCTTAAATTTACTTGAAATTAGTGGGATTTTAAATGTGCTTTACATGTCTCAGTGACGATTAAAAACATGTGCTTACTATGAGTTTATGGAGGGTCTGATTTGCTGAGATCTGAGTGTCCTTGTTTTTCATTAGCAGACCAGGTATATTCCCTCTCAAGGCACATTCAGCTCTTTCAGGGCCACATGGTGTAAGTACAATTGTTCTGTTGGTTTGAGCAGGATAATTTCTTCCAAGAGAAAAATCTCAGGTGGTTTGGTTTGTTTGTTTAATTTCTTTAATACAATACTGTTTATTCAGAAAAAATATATATGAATGAATAATTTTTCAATTACTGTAGAGGCAAGGAGCAGCAAATACTTCCATGTGTTTTATTAACAATTCTGCTTTTTCAGTGAGTTCTTTACCTTAGGGAGCTGAATGACTGTTCTCAAGTAGCTGGTTTTCTTTACAGTGGCTTTTTGGTTGCCAGATGGCATGGCTACTTGGATAGGCTAACATAAAACAAGGAAGGATCTGTGTTTGTGATGTGGCAACTACTTCATGCATGTTGTCTCAAGGTATCCATGAAGAATTTTGTGTTTGTTCTGTCTTCAGTAGGAACAATAAGGTAAGATATCTTCCATTTACTGCAAAATAAGAATGATACACGTGATTTCCTAATTTTTTCCTTTTCATAGTCTAGTCTTTGAAGCCCTACAGAGTTAAACTATATATGTATGTACTTGCTTAAAGTTAGGTTAGAAATCACAATTTTAACTAAGAGGTATGTAGTTTCATGTGTTGGAGAAGGATATTCTTTTCCATATTGCTCTTGCTGTGAATGATATCTTTGGTGAGGATGATGTCCTTTTCAATAAAATTGCCTGGTAAAATCATCCTCCTCAGAAATGCATGAATGGATGACTTTGGTTAGTATAATCAAGTTATGAATTATACAGTACTGTACTCTCTGTGAATTGGTAGAAAAACCTAGGCCAAACAGAAAATAAACAAAAATTGACTATATGAGGAACTACCTTAGAATAGCCTTAAAATGTCTTAGGATGCTTAACAGAAAACCAAAAAAAAAGTTATTAATATGATAAGAGGAGAAATACTGGCAATGAGAGTTAAGAGTTCTTGCTCGAAAGCAAACCTAAAAGAAATAATATATTCAGTAAACAGAATTATGAAAATTCTTTAGTATGGAAGGAGGCCTGATTACTTTGGGGTTTTTTTGGCTTTTATTTAAGTCCTGGCAAGATCTATCCTTATGTTGTATTAAGAGATGTGATGCACAAAAACAACGAGCAGAGCTGCCTGCAGTGTGCCAAGAATATGTGTTGTTGAGACACATTCTTAACACATAAGGCAACATTTGAAGAATAGGGAGTGGGATACCATGGCATGAGGGGAGAACATCAGATCTCAGCACAAGGCATTTATAGCTGTGCTCAAGATAAACAGAGCAATGGGACAGGGCCATCATGGCCCTTTGCCTGACTGGTTAAAAATAAGCACTGTACAACCTTCATATGCATCTCTCCCTTTAATGTGTGGGAGGAGAGAAGACAGATGCTCTGTTCTTGTCCCCTTTATGGCACCCTCCCAGGTTCTTATCCCTGCCCTTCGCTCAGTGATGCCACACTTAAGGAAAGGCCTCTGATTCTTAATCCCTGGGTGATGGGAGCAGGTCTATGGATGTAGCTGAGGATTAACTGATTTTTTTAATAAATTATTTTACTCATAATAAAGGAAGAAATCTTGTATCTTGTGGACCATAAAAACTTTCTCATTACTTTGGTAAGAACTTTGACAAGATAAAGAAAAAGGATCAAATCTTAATTTGGGGAAGTACTATTCTATGAAACTGATTCACAGCAAGTATACCTGAGTGAGTTAAGGTACTAAAGAAAAGTAAGGAAAGAAAAATTCTTGATTTATTCAACATTATATGTTTTCTAAGAAAATCAGGGCTTGTTTTTTTCCCCAAAAATCTTTACAGTTGTCCAGCATTATGTATGTCATTGGGGCTTCCTGTGTTTAATTATTTTCTCTAAATTCTTTGCAAACTGCCAATGCAGCATCTATCTTTACGATGAAAATTTGCTAACACTTGACTGTATGACTATAATGAAAGTATTTTAGCTAAGTACTCTGAAGATTTTGAAATGAGTATTGATATTTATTAATGCAGTGTTCCATGTTTTGGAAAGAGATGGAGATCAGCTGAAGCATTTGTCTGACTCACATCACATTACATCCAAATTGCATCTGAAATCTCCAGTTGCTTTGTTTTGCCTTTGGACAGGCTTTCAGAAGGTTAGTCAGGAATGTTAAAGCCATGTTGGATAGGTATATGGGCATATTGGGGGGTTAATTCTTCCCTTGACTTGAACTAAATCAAGTGAAACCCCCATTAAGCCAGAAGTATTGCCACAAAGCAAAATGGGCATGAAAGGATAGCCAAACACAGACTGCTTCCTGCAGGCTGTTTCCTCATATTCATTCAGTTCTTCAATGTGTGAGGAACACAGAAGCCAGGTGCAGTGGCAATAGGACATTAGGATGGCAGAAAGGGAATGAGGAAGTACCACTGCCCTGCTTCCTTTGCTAAGCAAACACAGATCTTTCTAATTACATAGTCTGATTTGAGATGTGTGTTACAGATTTTCAAAATGTATGTTAGAGTATAAATCACCGTAAGGTAAACATTGTATGGTTTCATATGGGGATAAATACATACAGGCTGTATATTCAACTTCAGTAGTATTTTGCTTGCTTTCATAAGAATAAATGTGCATACACAGCTATTATGTAGTGATATTCAATAACTAAATCTAAATTTCTGCAGAAGGACACACATTAAAAAAAAAAAAGCAACTCTTCATTTTAAATGTTTTTCAGTTTGTCCTTTCTCTTAAGCTACTTTGTCTTTCACAGCCACTTTCTTACTCATCTATAAAACATGAATGTCCCTCATCCTCCCACCCACCAAGCTCCGTTAAGGTCCTGGAGCTTCTGATCTTGTGGCACTTGGGGACATGATTTAGTATTGTCAGTATTAGGTAAATGGTTGAACTCAATGATCTTGGAGGTCTTTTCCCACCCAAGTGATTCCATGATACTACGTTTCATTTGCTCTGTGATAAAGCTCTTTGTATGGTATCTGTGTTTTAGAGCCCTTTTATGTCCTCAAATCTTTTTTTTGAGGTTTATGTTGATCTTTGTGCTGGTCTTTCCTTCATGGTTGTATAAGGATAGAATCCACTGCCTAAGCAGTTTCTCTCATTCCCACCCCTAGACCCCTGCCCTTCCTGAATTTGGAAAAAGTGCTGATATGACAGTGAAGCACTCAGTGAGATAAGTGGTAGACTTCCTGAAACTGTGTTCTCTGTGCAGTGTCTGCTAGTAGGAGTGACTTGCAGCAACAAATCTGCAGTGTGGAACGGAGCCAGAGAAACCATGAGGAGTGAAAGATGTCCAAGTTACCTAAGCAAATTGGATTGTACAGGCAAAAGATTGGAAATTAAGACAGACTGCTCTTAAAAAGTGCAGAACCATTGTAAAGTGTTCTGTCAGTCTGCATTTCCTACTGTTTTAACTGCATTTCTTTCATTCTCAGGCATGTCTTCGGAACTTGGTGATGATGTCAGTTATCTGCCACTACTATATTAAGATGTTTCTTCCAAAACGATAAGAAGCAATGTGATTCTCAGAATTGTCACTAAGCTTCAGAGTCATTGTAGTGACTTGCAGGGCTCAGCATTCCAGCAAAGCCCTTAGTGCAAATGCTGAAAATCTTTTCAGTTTGCATGTCAAAGATTATCCTAGACTTTGATACGTATGGAAAAACTGGAGTCTTTTCCATGGAAGTTCTGCGTTCCAGAAAGGCAAATCAGTACAGAGTCAGTGAGGAGAAAGAGCTTAGTGATCCATGGGATTGGGAATGTACAGTGGGAAACTGAGAGCATAATTACACTACACAGTGAAGTATAGTATATCAATAATTGATTTAATCACCACTAAACTATTTCCAGAAGTGTCTTTGTGCAGCCATGTTTGTTTGGCTCTGAATACATGCTGAGGAAGACTGGCTGTCTCAGTGGCAGGGCATATTTGGTCTGAAAGGAATGTGTTAACCTACCTGCACAGCTCTTGGGACCAGGGGCATGTGGGTGTAGAATGTCTGCAGTGTCTGCTCTGACAGGCCTGGTGTCACAGCCAGCTGGGACCTTTTCACATTGCATACCACGGTAGGAGAGATGTGCTGTAAAAGACCTTGCCTCAATGAGCCAAGCTAAATGAGTATTAACAGATGATATAATTTCCTTCTCTGAATGTACCAGCACAGAGGTAAAGTTCTCCTTAAGCCAAGGAGCTATGTTAATAGAAGAGCATCAACTGACTAGGAATACACTGACTCCAAAAATCAAACAACATTTTCTGAGTAGTTACAAAAGGGGCTTTGCTCAGTTTCTGAAATAAATTGAGTGATACAACTGCAAGTGTAAGAGTTGAGTACTTGTAGTGATTCAGGAATTTCCTTCTAGTCCTATGTTCCCATGTCTCACAATTCTGTTCAAGCATCAGAGTCAACAATACATCCCACTATTGAATCATCTGGGGAGAGCAGGGTCCTAATTATAACCTTGTGCAGTAATATTCTCCTCTTATCTTTCATGTATCTCTTATCTACATACATATCAACAATATTTAAGTTAACATGACTGAGGTATGAAAGCAGTTGTTTGTCTGGTAGCCAGAGTATATAACCTTGAAAATGTGTAGGGAATTAGGCTGCTTCAGTTGGACGGTTAATGAAGCAATTTTGTTTTATTGTGATTCTTTTTGTAGCAGTGATAGAAGCAGGGAGGTCTTGGCCAAATTTCTTGTAACAATATGCCAAACAAAATACATCATGATTTCAGTCATTCAAACCATGAGGACCTGAGAACTGCTGAATTCAGCCAGATGAAAAGTCTACCTAACCTAGTAAGTAGATACTTATGGAAAAAATGTCCGGAGGCAGTCATGCTTATGGTGATTTTTCCATCATGCTCTTCAGGCCTTCAGCGATTAGGAGACTCTTTTGTTTAATGGTTACTGCTGACCTACTGAATAGAACTGCTGAATCAATGAAGTCATGATTTTTCTGATCCATGTACAGTTTGTGTCTCACAATATCTAATGAAAGTTAGTTTATTATTACATAAAAACCCCACATGCCTTCCAATATCTATGTTGTGAAAACTAATGAATAACTTACCAGGTCACCTTTTGAATAGAGTTAATTATTTAGTACATCACTCTTGTATTATTCTCCTGATATTTTTCTAATTATATCATAACCTTTTTGATAAAGGAATTGCTAGATCTCCATATAGTATTCGTAATATGCTTGTGGCCTGAGTGTTTAGAGGGCAGATTTTTCATGTTTTTCTCTGTTAAGTTTTAAATAAATCCCAGACATATTTGTTCTTTTAAGCACCAGATGTTTCCAGATTTCTTTCCTGGTGATACTAACACCCTATATATACATATATATATATTTATATATATATATATATATATATATAAAATATGTTTTATATAAATATATACACACATATATGTGTATTTTCTCTTCCCTTCTTGATGTGCATTGCATTTAATGACAGTGAATAGCCTCTGGCATTTTATCACCCATTCAGTATTGAACCACCTCCAAAGCTTTTCATAGCCAGCCCTAGATTTCCTCAGTCTAATAGTTTGGTGTCATCTGATTATTTTTTTTCCTTTGTCTTATTATGTGTGGCTTTTTCCACATTGTTTATGAATATATTGAGGACCCACATCTGTCAGCTGAGCCTAAGTCAGTGAATCCTGAAAAAGAATACAAGCAATATAAAATATGACTTATAAAAATAATTCAGCCTTTTTCTTCTTTTTCTTCTAAAATGAATTTTACCATTTTAGTTTTATTATTTATTTAGTACATAATTAGATGTGTTTTTAATTTGTTTTCACAATGCAGTTCTGCTTTTCAAAGCACTTATAGAATAAGTGGAAATAGAAGACAACAGGAATTCACTGCTTCCTGATAATTTAAATATCACACATGTTGATGTTAATGACTAACATTTTTATTTCATATTTCACTGTATGGGATTCTGGCACATCCTGACAATTGATGGTGATTGTCAGGAAATAACTATATAAAAGAAACTGTTCTTTTTATTTTTTTAATGTTAGCATGCAAAGGTTGTCTTTGACTGTCTACAATCTCCTATTGGCTTAATCCACTATACTTACTTATTAAGCTATGAATACCTGCAAATCCTTTAAAGGATTAACTGTATCTGCCTGCTAAGCTTTCCAAGGCAGTTAAAAATAACTGCAGGCTGATTCTACTGACACACTAAAAATTGGACCTGCTCTACATTTTATGCTGTATTTGCTGCTGCTTTGACAGATGTGATACAGTCTGGAGGTACTTAAACCTTCTATGAAGCTGGGTTGGCCAAGTGCTCTCAATACCCCAGTTCTGACTAGCAGCTGTTTTTCCATACAGCCCACAGAGGATCAGCATTTGCTTTGTCTCGTGAAAAATGCCAGTGACCAAGAACATACCAGGTGGAAAAAGAAATTCAGCTTAATATCAATTAATGAAATGAAGGTGTCCTTCTCTGAAGGAAAGGCACTGGTTTATACATGTGTCTGCTGTGCAGCCCTTCCTGTTTGCTATGTTTTTTTTCTAGCTGTACTCATTGACTTCAGAAAATGTGTCTCTTTTCCACATTTACAAAATTGTTATATTCTAATACAGTATAAGCGTGTATGCTGGATGCTGCTAGGTACTGTTAGGAAGGCAGCCACACATACGAGATTCCTCACAGTGGAAGCTTCACGGGGAATTCACAGTTTCTCTCAATGGTCCAGAGGATGCAAGAGACAGCAGCACGTTAATCTGTGTACTGTCTACCTCTATTCCTGCTGGCTGTCAAGGAGGAAGAGTTGAACTTCACCACCTGTGAACTTCACCACCTTCCTGCCTTGATCAAGGAAGTTAAATAGTGCAATATATAAGATGGAAACTTTGAGACAAGACTTTGCACTTTCCGTTGTCTTTTGCCGGACATTTTCCTTGGAAGTCTTGTAGGGGTACAACAGAAATTTCTGGCTGCAAAAGGATACCATGAACTACAGTGTTTTCTTGCTGGCAAAGGAAAGAATGGGACAGTGATTCCCTGCTACAGTGATGCATACATTCATTAGCAGATTGTTTAGGTTCCTGCACAAAAAAAACAGAAGTGCATGTAACAGCTGAAACTGGTTCCCCACACTTATAAGAGCTGGAGGAATGTAACATGGCATAAAGTTATTTTCCCCCCAAGTGATAGGCATCAGGCCAATTAATACTTAGCTGGGTGCATGAAACCTGCATTTGTTTAAAGCTGAAGGGGGAATATTGAAAATGAAATTCAGTGAGATGTAGGTACTCACAAGGGACTACTCTGTCAGCATTCATTATAGCAAACTCCTGACTGTAAAACAATATATGAATATTGAATAATATGAACTTGGGTTGGCTTGCCAACCACTCTGTCAGAGTCTAAAGCACTGACAGAAATCCAGAAAGGATATTGGATCCATCAATGTGGATTCAGCCTTCAATCCCCAAAATTATAGCTGCTACAGTTCTTTAGCTTAGCTAGTCCAAGAGCTAAGTAGTTGCTGATTAATTACTTAATTGTTATGCTATTTGGCAGTAGGAGGGCTGTAGATTTTCCTGCTCTTCTAAATATGTATGGGAGCAACCAAAGCTGAAGGTTCTAGCTAAGACACAATAAGCAATATAACTCCATTAACATTAATATGTGCTAATTTATGTCTAAAATATGGATTGAAAGTTGTGCTGAGACAACTTCATACTGAGCTATATTAGGAAATCACATTGTGTTTTTACAATTTCTAGCTAAAGGAAGTGAACAAAAACTTGGGAGAGTTACATTTAAACCCCTTGTTCCAGTCCATGTCTGCCTGCATGTGGCCCTGGTCTGCCTGAGGAAGTGCCATGGGTAAGCAGATACATTGCTTGTGATACTTCAATGTTTCTTAGAATTGCAGAATTTCTACTGTGCCCTGCATTGCACTACTCAAACAACAGATGACACAGACTTACCAGGGAAATCGTATGGTTCTATTTATTTCAATACTAATTTTTCTAATTAGGCATATATTCCTTAATGTTTGCTTTTATCTGAACTTCACCACAAACTGTCGAGTTAAATTTTACTCAATGTATATTTTTGGACAGAGTAGATGGACTTGTACAAAATGCACTTCCTAACATATTTAGTATTTTCTTGTGAAGAGAAAGTAGCATTCTTATGTTTTACAAGAGAAATCTTGTGGAACCCAAGCTTGTCAGATTTTTGCCAGAAACTTCCTGGTTGCCTGCCAGCTCTCTACCCGTCCACTTGGCAGGTGGCCCAGCCTTCCAAGAGCTGCAGCTGCCTCTGTGCCAGGGCTGGCAGCACTTGCAGGGCTTCAGGTCCCTGAGCAGGTGTCCAGATGGACTCCCTCCCAAAGGGTCCCTGTCACCCTGGGGTGATGTGCTGTGCCTCCTGGCAGGGCTGGAAGCTAAGGAACTTCCAGGCCTGGAAATGTTTTACTTTGTGCCAGCTTTCAGTAGTTCTTTAAGAAATTGTTTTGTAAGTGGACATCCTATATCTGTCACTAAGGAAGGCCTTGTACCTAAAGACAGGGACGGATGCCTTTAACACATCACTTTGTATCAGTCCTGCTTCTGAGGAAGGTTCATGAAGAAATGACACAAAATGCAACAGCATGTCTAGAAGAATGTTGTTTTTTCAGTTGGAATTTGGCTTCTGACATTAGCTTTAGGTTTAGTTGAGGTTTTGTGTTTCCCTTTTATCTTAGGAGACATTCTTCCCTGCCCCTCCCCCCCCCCCAATAATATCTCATCTTATTTGAGATTCAATCAGACATCAGCAATGTTTTGTGGACTAGTTTTTAATCAGTTAAATATTCATGGTAGTTGATACAACCTTGGTATTAATAATATATTGTGAAAGACCTGTAAGAATAAATAGAAGCTGATAAGCTTTATGTTGGTGTGTACATGGTTTTTGACCTTAGTATTTTTTATCCTATCTTTTTAGGGCTGAGAAAAGTACAATTTAAGAACATGGAGCATTCTGGGGTATGTGTAACTCTTTGTATAAAAGTAAGTGCCAACTCAGGTTAATAAATAATAAAAGTGCACAAAGCAATTTTTCTTCCTTTTTCTGATTATACTTTAATATTTTACTGCATTTTGAATAGCTTGCTAGAAAACTTGTCTTTCCTAATGGAGCTCTACTCCAAAAATAAATCAATTACACAATAATAGGCAGGGTTTCTGCTCTAGGTATTGCTTGTAGATTGCTACTAGATGCCATGTAAATCAATCAATCAATCTCAACTTTATGGAAACTAAATAATGATATTGAAAGACACATGTGAATGTAATGAAGGAACTGTGATAAACCAGATATTTTATAGACCGTTGTCTGGAGATGATACCTTTTTATGACTTCCCTCAAGGAAATGTAATGAAGAATTTTTAATTAACATAATACAGTAAAGCTTAAGAACATCTTGTAATTGATTTGGTAAATAGAAACAGTGATACAATAGAGGATGACAGTCTGGTAAAATTTCTTCAGCTTAGTAACTTTTTCAGCAAATTTGCTTAGTGATTTTATTTCAGACCTTGCCCCACTAAAGGCAGTAAATCCATTTCTGGAGTTCCTAGCAGGGTAGAGTAACAGTTTCAGAGTCTAGGTAGATACTATTTTGGCTTATACAATGTTACCTCACAGTGTAAGAAGTGAAGGACTAAACACTGCCTTATTTAAGGAACCAAAGGCCCATCAAAATCAGTAAAAAAGGTGGAAGCACTATAATTAAAAAAAAAAAAAAAAAAAAGGGAAAAAAGAAGAAAATATTCCTCTCCTGTTCCTCAGCTAGTACAATATGTTGGAGTGGAGGTTAGCTTTGTTATGAATTTTGCAGATGCTTCCAAATAGCTGCCCAAAATTAAACGAAGCTTGATTGATTTGCCCCTGCGCCACTGCAGCTTTATGTGTATTGGAAAGCACTGGGGATCTGTTAATAATAAAATTAGAATGAAATATAAATAAATAGTACACACTGTTTCTTGCTGATGTGATGACAAGTAGTTTCTCTGTGATTTTATTGCTCTCTATTGCACTAGCCAATATAAAAATTTTGCCAACATGGTTTTCACAACACTTACCAATTACCAATAACTGCCTAACTCCATTTCTGTTTACAAACTTAATAACAACATGCTTACATAAAGTAGACTGTGATGGTCACATTTTCAGCTACATCCTGGCATAGCTCCAATGGCATAGCTGTTGACTTCATGAGGATTTGGATACAAACTTAAAGTTAAGCCCATGCTTAACTGCTTTGTCAATCTGTCTCTCTCCCTGTCCTCCTGCTGTTACTATCATATGACATCTATGAAATTTAGCTCATGCTGACATATGAATGAATGTTCAGGTATTTCTATACACGCTTTGTACACAAAGCTGTGGTTTCAGGCTTCAAGCCTGAAGAAAAGACTGTATCCAGTGTGACTTCCAGAGCGGTGTGAGTGTGTGTGTGTTTATCTGTTCTCTAAGACCACGTGTGGGACTCTCATCCAACCAAAACTTCTGTAAGAAGGGAGACTGCATTTCAGAATAAAACCTTCTCTGAGATTCCATGCCAAAACTTACGCTTTTTGTAGCAGCTGTAAATTAAGTCCTCTTCTTTATTGGTTTTGAATTTAAATCATTTAGCGGTATCATTGACTTGATAAACATTTTTTTCATTGTATTTTAAAGCATTTACAGCAAAATACTACATCAGTAATAGAAGCAAAGATTAGAAAGTGAGTTGTATAACTAATATTATATATAATTTCACATACAAAACAAAAGTTATTACATAAAGGAAGGTATAATAAAATTATGCCTGTAGGCAGTGGCTTTTATGAAGAGTGTAAGTTTCTCAAATACTTAATAAACTAAGAGATTTTACTAGAAGTATAACTTGTGTTTATGGGATTTATGTGCATTCTTCCCCAAAATAGCATTCAACTACCATAAGGTTTAGTTGGGCATTTATTCATGACCGTATTAATGAATGTGATATTTCTAGATATGTCTATAGAGCTGTGGATATATTTAAACAAAAGGTTTTATAACTGCTTTAATTATTGTGATAAACCAGAGCTAAGTATTGCCATAAATTAGAGGGAAAAATATTTTAAGCACACATTTCCTTAAATTTTATCTCCTAAAAAGTTAGACAGCATTTCTATGTATCTCTTCATAGTTTAGTATTTGCTAGATACACTGTTGTTTCCCCTGGCATTTGTGTGCTGTAAGGCAAGGGACAACAGAATCAAGAAATAAACATCTGAGCATGTCACAAATCCAATTAACTCTGACAAGGGCTAGTAAAGTCAAGTGAATAACAAAGCACTGCTGTCTGGAAGTGGCTTTGCAGACAGTAGGACACCAGCTGGACAAAGCAAAAGTACTTCAGGCAGCTGAATTTTCTGCCTCCACTAAGACCGTCTTATACCCCAGTGAGGTCACAGTGCTATAGCATTTTCAAGTGTCAGATCTCATCTCTTCACTGTTTCTAAGCGGCAGGGAGGAGGAGGAGGAGGAGGAGGGAAGCGTTCCACTCACAGAATGTAAAATATGTGCTAATGTCATTACAAGTAATGCAGCGAAGCAGAAACTGCAGTTAACATTGCACAGCCTCTCCTCAACCACCACCACAGTGCTGGGTTATGATAGAAACCTCCAAGACGTTTCAGTGCAACAGTCCTTGGGCAGAAATTGTGGTGGTTTTCTAGTCTCAAGGCCTGTATATGTTCAAAGTAGCTCTCCTTCTTCTAGCTCTTGACAGATGGAACTACCCTATATCCCATTTAATGGAACTGAATGATTATATGATTGCTTCACCAGTCTGCTGGCATTCATCCATGCTTGAGACTCAAAAATGTGGGGGAATTTCTCATCTGGAGTATCTAGAGACGTTCCTTTGGCGAAGTTATTTTTGGGTTTATCTTGACAGGAGAATCCACTCCCTGCCCATCTGCCTGGAAATAAAAATCTTCACTGTCTGTAGAAAGGAAATACCTGCTCCATTTACTTTATCTGTGTAACCCAAATAACACAATGTCACCCTTGGAATCTTTTCTTGCTCTAACCTATTTCTGTGTCATGCCATGTCATGTCAAGTATGCTTAAGTAAAATGCTTTCCATTCACACTGTAGTAATGGAAGGAATCTCAGACCCATATACAATACTTTTATAATACTTTAAAATACAATAATACTTTTAAAATACAATATTTTTACTGTTAATTGTCAACATTATTTGCTACTAATAATCTACTTTTCTAGTAGCCAGGAGAGTCAAATATGTAGTTTGTCAGCTTTAACATGGGTTATAAAACTGAAATAAACAGATGTCTTCAACTTTGGGATGGAGGAAGGAATATTTCTTAGGAAACAACATTAGAATTCGGATTAGCTCATAACTCATAGTTAGTTTGCAGCTGAAATTTTGCACCACTTTTTAATATTTTAATTGAAACTAAAAATATATTAACTTCATCAAGATTTTCCAAGGGGAGATTACTTTAGTTCAGAATGGGAATTCTGGGTTCTAGAAACCAGAAACAAATACACACAATAACTCAATGATTAACTCATTAAATTACTAGATTTAGAGCAGGAAACTGAACATGTTTCCCCTCTTCTAATTCTACATGTTTCTATGTATTGCATCTTTTGAATCGTCCCCCCCCTCCCCAAAACTTAAAGAAATATTTTTTAATCTTGGAGCTGGTCCAAATTTTCCTGATACAGAGAATTTAACATGGGATGAGATGGGTAAATTGAAGTGTCAAATGGTCTCTGAAATCAGAAAAAGGAGCAAGGAAATAATAAAAATATGCAGAATTACTTCTACAGAAAATTAAAAATTAAACCTGTCATCATGCTTGTACATTTTTCTAACTGCATTGAAGCTTGATCTTCTTGCTACAACTTTGGACACAAATAGAATTTAGCAAATGGAGATATGCTGCAGAAGCAGCACAGGCATATGCTGACATACGATTTCCATATGTCAGTCCACAGTGATTCTTGAGCTCCTGAGACACGTTTTGTTCTTTAAATAGTTTTCCATCTTTTTAACATTTTGGAGCACATTGACTATTTTCATTATGTTTTTTTCCTCCTTCCTTTGAAGTCACATGCATTTACAACTAACTTAGATTAGGCAGGAAGGACAGATAGAAAGAAGCTAAAATAGCTTTCAGAAATTACTCCTACAGTCAAATATATTTGGAACTAAAAGAGCCAACACAAGCAATTGAAATAAAATTAAGTCTACAATAATCTTTATAAATAAAAAAAACATGTGGGTTAGGATTTTTGTCCTGCATTCGCCCAGGATCACATGCAGTATTTTGTTCCTGGGATGTAACACAGCAAGTTAAAATTTAATTTAAAAACCAACAAAATCCCCTTTGTATTTAATAATATATCATTAAAACCTGAGGTTTTGACTTGAACTAGAGACTGAGTCAGAACCTTAGAGACTCACACAGAGAACAACAGTAGCTGCCAACAGAGTATTTCCTGTTGCTTTTCACAAACAAACAAACAAACAAAAAAGGGATATTTCTGTATGATGTGCAGCATGAAGACATTTAGATGCAAGTTTTACAGAGACCTACAACTCTAGGCAAATAATAGGTAAAACCCCCTCTTATTTCTTAAAAAAACAACTCCATCACCATAGACTTAACATCTTTCAACAAATTGCATGGCAGTCTTATGTCCCTAAGTTCCTAAAAGTTTTGGAGGAAAAAATACTTCAAATTCACTCGAATGCCTATGAGAGCTTAAAAAAAATAAATAAGAATAAATAGAACATACATAAAAATTCTGCTGCACACTGTTAAGGTAGGAAAACTGTACTGAATACATTTCTTTGTCTTTTGCAACATCTCATGTAGGCTTTATCAGCAAAATATTTTGTTTCTTTAGTGAAAAAAAAAATTGCTTTATACTTCTTAAGAGGGAAATCATGTATTTCTGAATGTCTGGAGAAATGCTGAGAATAATAACTACAACAAACAAGTCATTAATATGAATTTACTTCTTCAGTGCCTGGAGACAATTTCCTAATAAGCTCCAGCCTCCTAGCTGTTGTAAACCAAGGAACCATCCAGTGTTAGACTTTCCTGCTAAGTGTGCATATCAGCTTGGGCCAGTACAGGAAGAATTCTTAAGGCTGGTCTGAAAGAACAAATGTTTCCTCAAAACCTCTGATTCAACATAGGTACATTTGCTTTCTAGTTCTGTGTCTTAAAAAGGGTCAAAGCTCTGCAATGGTGAAGGGCATAAAGTAGTGCTTGTCCCATTGGACGTAAACACATATGTCATAGAGATATCCTCCTGCTAGGAATAAATCAATTCTTGCTTGCACTAAAAGGCACTGATGTAATCACAAAATGTTTTAGAGATCTTTTACTCCTAACAGGGTAACACTGGAAATTTTGCCCCTCTGCAAGTTATGGATTGGGTCTTAGCGTACTTTTGTTGAAATAAAGGTACTGCTGTCAATTTGAGAGTTGAACTGGAAACCAAAGTTCTGTAAGGTTTATGCTGGCCTTCTCTACAGGAAGGTAAACAACCCAAAATGTTGACATGTGAATAGTTCTCCTCCCATAACTTCTTTGTTTGCCAGAGTAGTAATTGGGTGGGCAGATTTCTTCTAGATGACACCAGAAGAGAAAAATGTATAATCTTCTTCAGATTATACAAAACCATGTTTTGTTTCTTATCCTAGGAAAGACTTACATGGCACAATTTGGATGATCTCTGGACTTAAACCCATTACCAGTAAAAAATAATGGTGCAATTTTGAGAGCCAAATGAAGAGACAACACACAATACCATATACAAGGAAAATCAGAGATCTTTAACAAGTAAAGAGGAGGTACATGATGGAGCTATTTACCAGGTACTAGAATATGAAGAAAAGCAGAGTACCTCTTCTCAAAAGGGAATTACAGAAATTTATTGAGGATATTGCGGCATCATTCCTCTAAATCCCTTATACTGCACAGTTCCCTGTTTCTCATTGGTATCTATCCCCTTGCTCTCAGAAGTTTTGCATCCACTTGTTCTTTCCACATCCCAACATCCTGTCTGTCTAAGCTTGTCTCCTAGGCTCAGCATTTCTATCTGACTGTGAACAAAGTTGTCACAGTGGTAAACACTGTCAGAAAAATATCCTGTCTCTTTTTTTTTCTGTATGTGAAAGTAAGGGGTAAGAAGGGTCTACTCAAGGTGTTTTCCTGGCACTGCTACAGTGCCTGGAGGGCAAAGGCTATTCCTCCTCCCCTGTGCCATCAAGCAATCCATGTTCCAGCACCAGAGTGAAGAGCAGGATATGAAACAGGTAAAACAGTGTCACTCAGAAACTGGAGGAGTGAGAAAAGAGGGCTTCCTTCCACCTGTGAAGTTTTTATGTACATAGTGGAGACTGGTGTGAAACATATGTATGTGAGACAGGTGAAAGGGGAACTTGGTGCTCCTTAGAGGTCCCATGGTCAAGGAAGTTTTGTGAGAGAGCTTTTTTTCATGGAGTTTCAAAATAGGTGATGATGATGTGCAGTACTGGGCCAATTCCCACCAGATGCAAAATAACTTTTGTGTGAGAATATACTGGAGCTGTGAGGAACCGCAGTTCCTGCAGTTTACAGCTGTCAATCTGATCCTGCTGCTCTAAATGACTTGCTAAAGTAAAAATACAGCCTCTGCTGGTTTATTCACTAGCCCAGACAGAACAAATACATGCAATGCACTATAATTTTCCAGGAAAATACATTCAATAACACTCTGAAAGTAAAAACACTGTATTTAAATGAGATTCACAGCAGTATGCTTTATTGACTGAGAGACAGATTCAGAAAATGAGGAGTACCAAACTGAGACTAATAGCTACACTCAACATACTTAGGCTAATTTACATTGTAAACAAGAACTCCACTGGCCCAGCAGAAAAGTACCTGGGGGTGTTGGTTGACAGCCAGCTGAACATGAGCCAGTGTGTTCCCAGGTAGCCAAGAAGGCCAATGGCATCCTGGCCTGTGAAAGAAATAGTGTAGCCAGTAGGACCAGGGCAGTGATTGTCGCCCTGTGCTCGGCACCTCAAGTTCTGTGTTTAGTCTTCTGCTCCTCACTGCAAGAAAGACATTGAGGTGCTGGAGTCCAGAGAAGGGCAACAAGGCTGGTGAAGGGCCTGGAGCACAAATCCTGTGAGAAGCAGAAGAAGCTGGGGGTGTTTAGCCTGGAATAGAGGAAGCTCAGGGGGGACCTTATCACTCTCTACAACCACCTGAAAGGAGGCTGTAGCCAGGTGGAGGTTAGTCTCTTCTCCCAGGCAGCAAGTGACAGGGCAAGAGAAAATGGCCTCAAGCTGTGCCACAGGAGGTTCAGGTTGGACATCAGGAAGAATTTTTTCACTGAAAGGGTTGTCAAGCATTGGTACAACCTGTTGCTCCAGGTACTGGAGTCACCATCCCTGGGAGTGTTCAAGAAATGCCTGGATATGGCACTAAGTGCTATGATTTAGTTGACATGGTGGTGTTTGGCCACAGGTTGATCTTCATGGTCTTTTCCAACCTTAATGACTCTTTCTTAATGATCATGCCATGTTTAAACATGCCTTGCTTTATTTTACAGTGCCACCTAGGGGGTAAAGGGTTTTAAACTAGAGCGGCAAAGGAGACGGAGCTTTATTAATAACATATAAAGCATTTCTTCTATTAGATTCTCTCTTGGAATATACTAGACAAACAAAGTGCTGCTGAGATTTTCATACTGTGGAATCTGGCAAAAGAATTGTAATTTCACAGGTCCCTTTGGGGCTGGCCATACTCTCTCCTCTTTTCCATAGCCTGACATGGGGATGCCACAAATCCCAATTTTCTCCTCTGCTAGCCAGGTCTCCCTGGTATGATAAGTGGAGAGGTTATCTACATCTCCTTACAGCTGTAAGCTTGGTAGGAGATTGCTGTACTGCTGGGCTTGGGTCTCCAAGGACTGGAAATAGAGCCTTGAAAAGTTTGCTTTTTGAAGCCAAAAGCAGAGAGAAACCCTGTTCTACTTAATCTAGTCTGCTAAAGGAAGGTAGTGAACAAGGCAGGAATGAGATGCTGAGACTACTCTGAGAGCAGATACATTTTATTCCTCCTGAAAATTTCCCAACTCTCCTTGAAATTACAAATTACAGTTGGCTCCCTTGGACTTCTAATGATTCAGCCTAGAAATGGGCAAAAGAAGCATAGAAAAACTGCCCATCTCTGTACCATGTTTATTTTCTTCAAAATGAGATTTGTTTTAAAAGCCTGAATTGTGGTAATTTCTTTCCTGAAAAACCAAAATTCCAGGAGAGGTAATATTTTAGGAGTGTTTTGAGTTTTTTGGGTTTTTTGCCTCACACTTTTATTCTCTCAAATGGTATTTGATTTTATTCTGTATCTTCCACAGCAGATGGCGTGCCTGCCTCCCTGAGACCAGAGATCCCAGCAGAATGTAAATGATACAAGAAACTTGTATAACATAGAAACAATTGTATAATATAAGAAACAATTATGCAATAAACGTGCTCCTCTTTCCTTAGAGGAAAGTAGTGATGCTACCACAATATTTTTGAAGGAGAAATGTCAGCATTTTTGACTGCATGACTATGTGTTTGAATTGTATTAAAGGGCAGGTCTCTTCCTTTCCTTCACTAACCTCCACACACATAAGCAATTGATTATTAATAAGAGATTTTATTTAAGTTCCTTTTTTAAAAATAATCCATACTGGGAAAAATAAAAGGCCAGCTGACAAAAATTGCTTTGTCTGCCCCCTAGAAATGGAAAAAGAGAAATTATTTTGCAAGCCACAGACATGACAAAATGATGATGGAATTTATACCAAAGCTTGCTGTAAGTACCCCTCAGGTAAACAAGTCCTGTGGTAAAATCACGGCATGATGGATAAAGAAAACTCTTACTACTGTCCTCTAGATGTCATGATGTGGAAGAGGAGCAGCTGGATACCAGGGCTGCCACTCTTGAAGCTAAATAGGTTTTGACATGCTCGTTAAAGAAAAGCTACAGTAAGGCACTGCAAATTCACCGTGGTGCCCATCCTGCTGTGACATGCTCTGGAGCAAGCAGGCTCCTGCTCAGGTGCTGGCAATAAACAGGCCAAGCCTGGGAAACCGGGACATGGACACCCACATCAGGTCCACATTGGCCATTCTGGCTTGGTCAGTCAGCATAGATTTTTAATGACTTCCTTGATAAAATCAGAGAGAACATGCAGTTAAACTTGTAGCACAGCGCTCTTCCATGTATAGGTTTTATTTCTTACCAAAACAGCATGGTTTTTACATATATATATATGCACATATAAATAAATAGAATGCCAACATAAATAAATACTTACACTTTTAAATATATACACATTAGGAGGACTTGCTATTGCAACTGGCAGATATTTGCAAACATGTACAGGTCTTGTCCTACAGCCCTTTCTTACAAAAGAAGATACAACAAATGCAGAGACTTGGTATAAGATATTTAAGAAAAAGGATTGTGTGATTCTTTCATATATATGTCTAAAAGAAAGCCTGAAGATCAGAGCTGAGTGAAGATGAATTGGAGAAGTGGTGATAAATAGTAAGTTATTAGACATAATTTGGAATATTCAGAACTTCAATTACAAAATTTAAAGAATCATCCTGCTCTTCAAATTTCTGAAATAATCCTGTTCCTTTTCAGGATCCTTCATGCTACAGGGCCTGGCTCATTAAAAGCTGTGATTTCAAGTTGTTCAGAGCTGGTGTGTGTTAGAGTGTGTTTCTTCCCAACTGTATCCCTGTGTTAAATCTTTCCTTACCTACAAACCTGACCTCTCTGAGGGGCCTGACAGCAGAGTTAGGGAGAACATTGTCACTGGAGGCCACTGCAAGAAGACTGCTAAGAAATCCTGCTTCCGGTAAATCCATTTAGCTGTTGACTTCCCCTATGACAACTTTCCTCCTTAAACCTTTCTCTAACGTGCAAGAGGCACGCCATAGGTGCAGTGTGCATGAGACACTCTGGGCTGTCTTGACAAGTGTTGTCTGCTGGCAATGCAGCAAAAACTGAGGCAAAAAAGCTAAAATCTCTTAATCAGAACTGACTGTATCTACACTCACTGTCACAAGCAGAAAAACAAGGTGAAGTTTAACAGGAATAAATGAGGAAGGAGTGGGGGGAGGGGGAAATCTTGAAGAACCATGTCTGGAGAAATAATAGAAGAAAGTGTTCCCATATCAGCAGATAACTGTTGCCTATCACTGTGGAAGCTGTGACTGACAGGAGCCCCACAGTGACACAGGAGAAGCACAGTGCAAGTCGGTGATGGCCATTAAGGGTAACTGTCCCTGTAGCTTGACTCCAAGGGACAGAGACACAAAGAACCTTTTGGTGCTTAAAGGGGACACCTCTGGGGTACCTTCTAACCTCATCCCACTTCCTGTTATAAATATAACTATGAGGGTTCAAAAAAAATAAACCCTACCTGCCTCCTCTGCACACTATCCACAGAGTCCATGCCCAAGAGTCAGAAGTAGCTGCTGAGCCTACCAAGATACATTGTAGCAAAAATGAATGCTTAAATACTATGTATAGCAGTATCCAAATAATCACTGTCTCTGTTATCTTGGAAAAGCCCTCTGAGATCATGAAGTCCAGCCCATGACTAAGCACCACTGTCAACCAGACCATGGCACTAAGTGCCATGTCCAGTCTTTTCTTCCAGGGGCAGCAACTCCATCACCTCCCTGAGCAATCCATTCTAATGTTTAATTGCTCTTTCCTCCTGATGCCTAACCTCACCTGGCACAGCTTGAGGCTAGTCCTGTCACAGGCTGCCCAAAAGAGCCTGACCTCCACTTCACTACACCCTCCTTTCAGGCACTTGTAGAGAGTGATAAGGTCACCCCTGAGCCTCCTTTTCTCCAGGCTAAACAACTCTGGCTCCCTTGGCTTCTCCTTGTTATCCTCTAGACCCTTTGCCAGCTTCACTGACTTTCGCTGGACCCACTCCAGCCCCTTTTTTTCTTCTGGAACTGAGGGGCCTGGACCTGGACACAAACTCTAAAGTATCTTTAGTATTCATGACTATGCCAGTGCCATTTATCCCATGCCTGTTACTTTAATGAGAAATATAATAACGACAAAGGTTAATTGGGGTCTTCAATCTGATGAGGGTTTTGTCTCCCTGCTCAGGCTTTGGGTGTCCAGTGCCCAAACAGCCACTTAGGAAGGAATGCGGGATGCAGGCACCCAACCTGCACCGGGCATTTATTGCCATTAATTAGTATGGTGAGAAACACCTTAACAACACTTTAGATATTCTGCCTGATAATCCACATAAACTAGAGAATATATTAAACAGAAGCCTCCAGGTCACTGCTATTGCTTTGGAGGGGATCACAGAATGGGTCAATTTGGAAGGGACCCCAGTAGATCAGCTGGTCCAACCCCCCTGCTCAAGCAAGACCATCCTAGGAGACCTTGCGCAGGATTCCAGGGGGTTCTTGAATATCCATGGTGATAGAGACTCCTCAGCCTCTCTGGACAATCTGTTCCAGTGCTCCGTCACCTGCACAGCAAAGTTCATCTTCATGTTCAGGTGAAACTTCCTATGGATGAGCTTCTGTCCCATTGCTTGGCACAACCGAGCAGAGCCTGACTCCATCCTCTCAGCACCCCACCTTTAGATATTTGCATACATTGATGAGAGCCGGCAGGTCTGGACGGGGCAGAAAGGACAAGACCCGTTCGAGACGGCGGCAGGCGGCTGCCAGCGAGCTCCGTGCCGGGGAAGGACCGGGCAGTACCACACCCCGGCCCCCACATGCCAACATGGCGGCCCCACCTCCCTCACCTCTCCCTCCCCCCGCCGCGTCCTTGCGTCACATCCGCGCTGCCCCGGCAACAACCGGACGTCGCGGGCGCGCCGGGAACCCGGAAGCGGCGGGCGAATCGGGGCGGGCGGCGCAACCGGCGGGGCGGGCCCGGCGCGCGCAGGGCAGCGGCGGCGGCAAAGTAGAGCCGGGGGGGGCAGCGGCCGGTTGGTGGCGGCGGTCGGGCAGCGCGCGGGGGACTCTCGGCAACTACCGGCGCGCTCGGGCTGTGCGGTCCCGCACGGAGCTGCGGCCGAGGCGGAGATGGCGGCGGACAAGGCTGCGGGTGAGTGCGAGGCGGGGGGGGCCCGGCGCGGAGGGACACGCGCCCCCGCGGATGGCGGCGAGCGCCGCCGGGATAAACGGCCGCCTGTGCGGCTGTGTGCCGTGTCCTTCCGCTCAGGAGGTAGTGCCCCGCCGTCCGTGGGCCGCTGTGAGGGGTCCCCGTGACACCTGCGGGTCACCGGCGGGGCCGGGTGCGCACGGCAAGCGGCGCTGGGCTATTGCCCCCTCCTGGCCGGGAAAGGGAGGGGGGGAAGGCCCTATGGACGTCTTGGAGGGGGGGTTTGTGTGTGTGTGTGTCGCCCAGAGCTTAATAGCATCTACCTACAGGGGTCGAGCGTCTGGGTTAATTTGTTAAACTGGGGCATGCAGAGGGTACGAGGGAGGTTATAACTCTTGGTGGTGCTGCTTAATCGCTGGAGTTCGGTCTGATTCCCTCAGGCATGCTGCTTTGGTTTCAGGGAATGAGTGCGTGCTCACTGAGCTCGGACCGAAAAGACGCTGCAGAGAGAACTCACTGAGACTAAAAAATAAGCCATGTTCTGGTAAACAGACAGAATAAATCTCAAATACAGTTGCTGTGTAGCACTGGTAAACTACCGCTCATCCATCTCCCGTACAACTCCCCATCATGCAAGAAGTCTTCATTGCAGGAAAGGTCATTCCATCAGATGGCAGCTTGTGAGGGGATGGAGAAGAGGCTGACGTGGAGGAAAACCTTACTTATAGAATTGTATAAGTCTACATAATAGAAGCATAGGATATCCTGAGTTAGAAGGGACTGATAAAGATGAAGAAATTCCAGTTCCTGGCCCAGCACAGGACATCTCTAAGAATTATACCTTGTGCCTGTGAGCATTTTCCAAACACTTTTTGAACTCTGTCAGGCTTTGTGCCAAGTGAGGAACCCATTCCAGTGCCCAAACACCCTCTGAATGAAGAACCTTTTCCCAGTATCCAACCTAAACCTCAGTGACACAGCTTCATGCTGTTTCCTTGGGTCCTGTGTCTGGTCACCTTTTTTTTTTTTTTTTTTTAATGTGGTGGGAGCATTACAGGGAAATTAAGTATACTGTACTGAGTGATGTTTACTAAACTAGCATGTTTATTTACAATAACTGTGACTGCTAAACTACAAGAAAAATAATTGGCATCAAGTTTTTAGTATCTTTGGTTGATGTTCTTTGAAGTGTTGAAGGAACTTTTCAGTTCTACATTCGTAAAAGTATGTGCAAAATGAATCAAAGATGTGAATTATGGCAAAATACTCTACATGCTGCACTTGTTCATAGCAGTGAGCTACAGGTAGCTTTCCACTGAGAAGTGTTTGCTTTTTATTGCACAACATCAAAGAAACCTATTATACCTATACTGATAGTGGAGGGCTTAATACAAAAATTAAAATGTAAGTCTTGGTGCCACAAACTCTTATCTTGTAATGGCTGGACACTGGCTGGGCTTCATATGCTTCAAAATTCTTTTGGAGCAAGTCATGTGATAGATTCCTCCTTTCAAGAAAGATTATCCCTCTGCCTGTAGAGTTTGGAAATTAAAAATATTTCCAGAGATGCTCTGGTGTTCAGCAGCACAGTTCATGCAAGATGTAATCTTCAGGATATAGGAACAAGAGAGCTCAGGAACAGCAGTCCTTGGAGAAACAGAGAGCAGGTATGAGAAGGATAATGATTGCAGTCACTCTCAGGTGTCTTCAGGTATGTGTATGTGGGAGATGTGACTTCTTGTTGCCTTTATGAAATTCTGGCAGCAAGCCCATGAGGAGAGCAATCTTCCTTTTCAGGTGGCAGTCCAATACTTTTCCTTGTTCACCTCTCATAGAGGTTGTTTTCCTGAAGCTCTGCTGTCCGTCATGATGTACCTTCTCCAGCAGGAGCAGCTTCCTGCTTGTACAAAGCAAAGCAGCCTCCGTGACATAGTGTTGCTCAGCCCCAGGATTGATAGCTAGGAAGATAATTCCTGGCTTCATTCTTTAACTTGCAACTCAGTGCAGAAACTTCTTCCAGAAGCCTCAAAATCTGAGCACTTGATTTTTACATCCTTTTCCAGGTTGTTCCTTTTGCCCCTCATCATGAGCCTACACAAATTTTAGTTTTGGAGTCGGTCTGTATGCATGAAGGTTGGACAAATGAAAAGTTAAACAAACTGGTCCATATTTAAATACAAATTACAGAGATAAATCAAGTTCTCTCACTTGTGAAGCAGAGAATCTGCACTGCTCTGGATATTTCAGCTGATAATTGTGGCTGCTGTACAGATGGGAGCATGTTGGAGATGACTGGTGTGCCATATGTTACCCACACCACATGCTTCTGCAAGAATGCCAAAGGTCACAGGGGCCCAAGTGAGCAAGGCATGCTGTTTCTTCTGCCAGGGAACAAGTTCCCTGTTTCGCTTTCAAATGCTTCA